TACGACAATCGCATTACCTCGTGTCCAACTTTACTATCGTGGGTATAGTTTTTATTAAAACTACGGCGAAAAGTCGGCCCTATTTTTACGAGAACGGTTGTATTTCGGCGGAAAGGCGAGTTTCTCCCGCGAGTTTATTTTACTGGCGCGCGAGGCGTGAGTGCGGTTTCCGGCCGGGGGAATTTTTATATCCTCCCTCAGGTGGGGGAGAGGAGGGAGAGGGGAGGAGGGGATGAAATAAAGAGCCCTCGCTCAACTTATATCGACGCGTTGCGCTTTTATTCCGCTTCGCCCGCGGCTTTGGACACGCGAGCAACGTTTGGACAGAGGGGCAAAGAGATTCCGAGATGAATTTCCGCCGTTTAACACTCGTCGAGTGGCTCTCGCGCGGAGACTTGCGGCTTTTTTGTGAATTTTTACTTCGCTCCCCTATTCGACTCTTGATTCCTCTTTTCCCCTCGATTCTTTTTTCGTTTTTTTTTTTCCCCCTCTTTTTCGTTTCCTTTTTGACGTTTTCGTAATATGTCGTTGTTGATGGCGGTTGCGAGCTATTTGTGCGATAATCGAACGCGTTTCGAGGGGGAGGAAAATGGAAGGTTATACGACATGTACGTAAGGTGTAAAGGTGGTTATGTACGTAGATGTGACGCAATTTAGACGTGGCTCTTTCATTCGTGGAATGGTGATCGAAGCATTGATATTTATAGTTTTAATAAAGAAATTGTATCGTGGAGGTAGATGTTAATATTTTGGTACAATATTAAATTTATATCTTATATAAATGTAAAAGTTGCATGTTCAACGTAATATTTTTATTTTGTTTTTTTGGAAATAAAATCTTAAAAGATTTTCTTTTTTTTTTACATCACTTTTTGGAAGAGGAAAATTGAGATTAAATAATAGCTCATTTTCTATGACACTATATAATTTTAGTATCTCTTATTTTTCTAAATTCCAAATATATATAATTTAATATTGTACGATATTAAGAATGATGTTAAGAAAATTTATATACTGATCTTCATCCCACAAGAAAAATATTTACAAACTCGTTAAAAATCGAGTTAACACGTTTTTCCATTCGAAATATTCTTCTCTATCCATTTTCAGAGGACTAAAAAGAAACTCCACTGATTCCAATTCGATTCAGTATGAACAGCGAATGTTATTAATTCTATCGAATTAGCGTTGCTAACGAAGTTAACCCGCTTCGATGCGAAGTCCGCGGAATTACCAAAGCCCGATTGAAATTAACCGAGTATCCAAATTCGATTTTTATTAAATCCAGTTCGTTCGATGTCGTGCCGATCTCACCGTGCAAACTAATTACTTCGGTGTTACGCGTTAAAGTTCACGGTTAATTACATCCTAGCTGTCAAACGACCACTCTGATCAATCGGAAATCGCAACCGAAAAAACTGCTCGATTACTATCGTTTTTTTCATTTAATAGTATTTTGTTGAACGGGATATATTGCGTAATTGGACAGAAAATCTGGTGCAAATTCAATTTCTAAATAAATAAATAAATAAATAAAAAATGTAAATAATCATGGAAGAAATTTCTTCTATCCAGAAGAAATGAGAAACAAGTGAAAAGGGATGACGACTGCTTTGATCTCTTTAAGATCGTCCCCTACACGATCGATAGTCCCATGAATTTATTTAATCTGGTATCGAAGAAACAGTAATAAAAGTATCGTTGCGTAGAAACTAAATATTATTATGTAGCGAAGATGATCCATGACATATTCCACGATTGATCGTTTCACGAGAGTTTAGCACAGGCAATATGAAAGTTTCGATGTACTGTCCCTGCTCTTACTTCTTTTTTTTCTCTCTTCTTCTTCCACTTCTACTTCTTTTGTTCACTCGAATCTCGAAGAATACTTTCGCATCCATCCACCATGGAATAAGGTTAGGCTTCGTTTGTGCGTTTCTCGAATAAGTTAGAAATTTTCTATTCTTTTCTTTATCAAAATCTTTGAATTTTTTTTATTATTTAATTTCTTTTTTTTCGTAGATACATATTGTATTTATAGAATATTAAAAGCATTTAATAAATTTGTATAATAATTTTTTATCGCATAATAATAACAATTTGTCTTAATAATTTGATTTACTTTCTATACAATTGTGGTTAAGTTGTTAGGAAGTTGTAAGTTGTTGAAAGTGAAGTGAAAAGGATCAAAAAAATCTCGTTATGTTGCCTTTCTATTTCTTTTCCTCTATCGATAAACAAGCAAGAATTACAATTCATCTCAATCATATGAATCATCATGTATGATGTGTCCAATAAATATTGTCGTAAGTTGATTTATGTCTTCGAAATGAATTATTCAATCCATCGCCCACAGTAATAGCATTTCCTTAATGTATAAATGCATTTCGTTTGATTCCAGATTGCATTAGCGTTAGATTTAACGCTTTGCCTTCAAAAATCGATCATAATAAATCTTTTCTTTTTCGCATCTTTACAATTTTTATTATCTGTTATTTCGATGGATAAACGATCAATATTTAATTTATTCACTCGCATATAAGTTTTCTTGCACACGAATTTACACGAAATTCTTCAGCCACCATAATACGTGTCACGTTCACGTTATTGTCCTGCCGTTCATCTTTCATTCATTCATTGCAAATCTACTAATGATCTATTATGCAATGAATACATTTCAAGTAATAAATATGGCATAATTAATGATTTTATTATGCATTTCATTATCATATTTCAATGTTTCAAAAATTAATTTAGAATACAACATTGATATTTATCAATTTAGCTCGACTCCTCAATTTTTTAAAATTCTCGATTAAAATTGCACATATGTAATAAATTCGTAGTTGCAACGACACACTGTAATATATATTCTTAGACAAATCTTGTGAAAAGAACACGACAAAGCCGTGTTTCAACGTAAGTTTCTTCACTTCTGTTTTCTTTCTTTGAAATCGGTCTAGAACACGAGCCAAAACGTTCGAATATGTTTGCTCGCCGGGCTAATAAACTTGCCGCGCGTGTATAAAGCGAGCCAATGATCATGAAGAACAGTTTTATTGGGAAAATTGACACAGGCCTCTGCTCGAAATACCTCGAATTCCTGTTTTCGCGTGACTACGTTGAAAAGCTACGAGAAATATTCGATGTAATCGGAGCATGGAATCGCATTGTTTTCGCTCGCTGATTACGTATTCTATCGGTATTTTTACACGTTTTTTTTTTTTTTTTTACCATTAACCGATAGAATATTTGAATTTTTGATCGTGACAAAGTTTGTTGATTCGACAATGATTACTCGCTGAGATACTTGCTGATAAATATGTTTTGCTGATTGTGAAAATGATTCGAATGAAATATATTTGATGATATGTAGATCAGGGGGAATCATTTTCGAAAAAAATTCATTTTCACGATATGCAATGTAAAAAGAAGTTGAGTATTATATAATATTTGTCGATGGCTATAGAGAATTCTGTACATATCGTATATATAATAATAATTTTATATACAATTTAATTTTAATGTATTTAATAATAATATATCATGATGATATAATGATACAATGTTTATATGATACGATGAATAATGTAAATGAAATGGATGATGCAATGTTATATTTTTATTTGCATAATATTTAATTTTTCGTACGCAATTAACCAGATATTGAAAACAAAAATATGGAAGTCTGTATTATATCTATCGATTAATAATAAAGATATTTGTAAATATTTTTTTTAGCTATTGTATGTTCCTATAATATAAATTTTTATAAATATATAAATTGAAATATATAAATTAATAGTAATAATTTCAATATGTGTAAAAATAATGTAATATAAAATTTAAAATAAATTTAAAATGAAGTTATTTTCAAAAATGTGTTTATATGTTAATTGAATATATTATTTCAGCAATTCCATCCAATGATCGAGAGGTTTTATTCATGAGAAAATTATTTCAAGTTTCAATGAATTTTGAAATATTGAATTGTAGAAATATGTTACACGCGATGGGAACAATTGCATGTCATTTTGTATTTTAATATAATGTTTGCCAACATGTACGAATATTGCAAATGCTACCTTTAAAATGATGAACGTCCTCTTGGAAACAGGAATTACAGGAAACATGGATGGAAATTGCCAAAACGATGATTGTAATAATGCGTTTCTTTCAAAATTTGAATTTATGAAAGTGATTTGGTTTTCTGATGATTTGTAACACGAAAATTAATATATCTAACAGCAAATATAAGTTATTCCATTTAAATTCGCTTATTCTTTTGTTGGAATTTTGTTGAACAATTATAGATACACATTTTATATCTAAATTTTTTTTTCCACAACGAAAAAATTCAATATTCGTACTATTTTTATTATTTTATGAAAAAATTTAAAAATTCTTATCAATATAAAAATTTCTAAGAATAAGTTAATTTATAATATTAATTCTTATCCCCATTTTTCAAATTTAATATATAAATTTGAAAAATGAAATTTTCTATGGAACAAAGAAATTTCACAACTTTATCTCTGAATTTTTCATTTATAAATATCACTCAAAATTGACATTTTACGCCATTTATATTGTTCTACCTCTTTCACGTTCAATGTTCAAAATTTGAAAAATTCCTTTCCACGTATACGTACATTGCGATCGAAAACACATTTCCCACAAAACAGGATACACAAATTTTCATAAAAGAAACTTCGTATTTATCAATTCGTGGTAAATCACATTATTCTTCATTTTACAGTTCTTCTTCATTTTACATTTTTTTCTATATATACATCAAAAACATGAAACGAGAGATTATACAAGAAAAAACATTATGACATATTTCGAACATGATTTATTTTCCAAGAACTCACTCTTATTTTCCAACAACACACAGGAGTATCGTTTCCTCTCAACCAACTATTGAAATTCATTGTCTTCTTAACCCACCCCTTTGCCATTTTTACTGTCGCTCATTGTATACATTCGTTTATGTACAGTTTCGATACGAGGGGTCGAAGCAACCTAGAACAAGGGAAACACTGGCAGGATATCAGCCTCGAAAATCGTGCCTTCTTCAGATATTCAGAACACCCCGCGAAACTCATTCTCGAGAAAGTCGGTGAGAGCGATGCTGCCGTTTACAGATGCAGGGTCGATTTCAAGCAATCCCCCACCAGGAACAGCAAAGTGAATCTCACGATTATCAGTAAGTTTTCTGTCATATGTTTTATATTCATGATTTTTCTTTATCTCCTTTTGATTTATAATAATTTACAATATTAATATTCTGTAGGGTGCAAAAGATTATTGTTAATAATACTGTTAAATAATGATAGAATTAATTGAATATAAATTTGGCGTGTTAATATACATATAGTAAAATAATTTAATAATATTTTTAATATTATTAATTTTTAACACACTGTGATATTCAAATATTTAATTGTAATAATAATTATTCTATCTTTTCTTCTTTCTTGAGGAATGATTTAGATATGAAATTTCAAGGTAATCGAAATTGTAGAAATAATTATTGATTTTTAATTTATACAATGTTTTACTTTTTTTGGAGAATTTTTTATGTTTCGATAATATTCAATTTCGTTGATTTCTTATTTATTTTTTCTTTTCCGTTAATTCTTCGAATTTTAATTTTTTTTCTTGAAAGAAATCCCTCATTATATTTAACCTTTTTCTGTTTTACCTTACGATCTTTCTTTTATCGACTATTTCTTAAGTCAAACTCCTTTGAACCCTTTCCCCTTGCATCCTCGACCGGATACGTATTTCGTCCGTCCCTTGTGTCTGTCCGTTTCATTCTCCATTAATCTTCTCGTCCTTCCATTTCCTCTGCTTTGAGTCACCTGCATCCATTACTTCCTCTTGACACGGTAATGCAATATCTTCGAGCTTTGTCTTTGCTCACTTGTTTATTACGCTTCCTTTTTTCCTACCATTTGTTTGCGTATCTGTCTTCTTCTTCCATTTTTCATTTTATCACTGACAATTCTTTTTCAGTTTTTGACTTCCATCTCATTACACACAGAGATTTTGTAATTTTTATCTTATATAATATTAACATTTACAATTATCTTCCATTACATTTTTAATATCTTTTTCCCCTCAAAATATATTTTTCATGATTCTTATTTATTTTTGAATTAAAAATTTTTCACGTATGTTCGTGAATTTTGTCGCACATCGATACATCCTCCTCTTGTTTCTTTCCTTCGCTATTTAGTTTTTTAATACGTGTACGCAAGAGAAAGTAGGAATGTTATTACAGAAATATAAAAAGAAAACTAAAAAAAAAAGTAAAGTAGAGTCATTCGTATCCGTGTCACTAGTACAACCACTCTTCTTGATAAATTTCTAAGTTTTCCTTTTATCCTCTTTTTCTCCTTTTTCCCCTCCATCTTTTTCTTCATTTTAACAATTACACGCTTCTCGTCGAACAAACAAAATAATATATATAAACTAAAGTAAATTTTTAAAATTGTATTTCTTCTTTCTGTTTTAATCTTCATTATGTTGTATTGATTTTTTCTGTTTCTTAATTTTCTTTCGTATGAAAATGTTATTTCTTTTTTTACCTTATGATATATGAATTCTAATTTTATAGAGTTTCCATCCCTTCCATCTCCTTTTTTAAGATGAAAGTGAATTTAATTTATTTATTTTTTTCCTAATAACATAATTTTTTTCCTTTATTTTATTTATTTTACTTATTTTTTGGAAATGTAATTTTCTTTGCTAATTCTTTTTCGTATAATAATGCCTTTCTATATTATACCTTCATATTTCACAAAGTATAATTCTATTCTTCCTTGTTTCTTTCTCTTGAAATCAAGGAAATTTCATTTCCACCAATTTCTTTCGACCAACAATTTCCTCAATTTTTATAATTTTTCCCAAGAGTCCAAAGATAGATAAATTTTCTTTCTTCCTTTTCTCAGCATCGTCATTTACTAATTTATTTTTCATTTCGTTAAACTTTCTTCTCACGATAATTCTTTTTCTATTTTATTTAGCTTCATACTATACAAATCACAATTCCTTCAAATTGAGACAATTTATCTATTCACTTCTCTCTTCTAACTTCATCTTTCTGATAATTTTTAACAAATTTTTCATATTCTAACTTAATATTTTCTTCATCCTACTTCATCGTCTTTATCCTCTTCATCTTTCTCTCTTTAATCAACTAAACATTTAATCCCTGTCTCTCTCTCTCTCTCTCTCTCTCTCTCTCTCTCTCTCTCTCTCTCTCTCTCTCTTTGATATCCTGAGAATTGATCAGGCTTGGCAGACCGCTTTTCGCGATTAGCTCGAACAAACAGAGAGTGGATTCGGTCTTCTTGACCCGGATCTATCGTTCAGCAAACGACGATTAAAAGGAGTTTTTTATCTGAAAGTCGTCAGGAGAAATACGAAATTAGATCGGCAATCTTCACGGCGTTCGTCGAGTCGAAATCGCAGGCATCGATGTCAATGATATCGATAAGTAGATTCCAATGCACGCTTTAAATCTTGTTGTCGCTCAAAAGAATTCGTTTTCCTTCTGTTTCTTGGTTAATCGACGACGAGGAATCTTTTTTCTCTCTCTCTCTTGAATTTTTTCCAGATCAATATCCAAATCCTTTTTAGATTCGACAAAATTAGAAGAATTAATGGATATACGTAATATCATTTCGAATATATAGAAGGAATATTAATAATTAAGAGAATTTAAAGAAATTTATTTATAATATAAAATTGTGTAAAAATTATTTCTCATATATCCATCGACCAAGATTATATTTATATTTATCATCCATTATCGCAATCTAATCATCATTAACTCGACGAGAAAAAGCTGTAAAATCTTTCGATCGCGCAAATATTTGCAGAATTAAGGAATAAAATTCCTAAATTCCTAGCAAGATTATCATCCCAATTACGGCGACACGTCGCAAAAATGTTTCACCTTTATCGAATGAAACTGATAAAAATTTCTCCGTGCAAGAAAACAAGCCTTATCTCCACGGGCTCGCAATCTCCGCCCTTCTCGTTATAAAATAATTTACATACCACGCGACCACATTTCTCGAGCGCGCCACAGGGCGGTTATGAGGTGGTAGATAAGAATTACCACCCACTACACGGATGTCCTGGGGTGTCTGTCGGACGACACAGGTCAGTAATTCATCGTCTTGCAAATTGATTCTCTCCTCTGCTGTCACGAGACAGTCACTTCTCATTTCTTCTTCGTCGTTTGTTTCGCGTGGAAAAAAAAGGGGGTTGAGCGAGGTTATGGAGGGAAAAAAAAAAGAAAATAGAAAAGGAAAGAAAGTAAGACAAACTCATCGTTACGAAATTGTTACAGTACCGCCGGAACAGCTTAGCATATTGAACGAAGATGGAACGTCTCATATTCCCTATTACATCCTGGGCCCGTACACCGAGGGCGCATCTCTGAATATTACCTGCGACGCTACTGGTGGTAAGTACTCGTGTTTCACTTACCCTAGTCTACCTGTGTCTCTCCGTTCACCTCTTGTTTCGCTCGATCGACGTCGAGTATTTCGAGTATCTGTGTGTTCTTGCGGAAACGCGTGTACGAGAATGTCTTCTCCAATTCTACTTTCTCTAACATTTCGATGTAATCACGTGGGTCTTGGATCACTATCGATTTATCGAGCCGTATGCAACGTTTGCAAACACATGGTTTCAGCCTGTCGAAGCATTTCCACTTAATTGCGCCGAGATTGTGAATGAATTATTTTGATTTTCGCGTGAAAATTTTTATGGTAAACTGTTGATAATGTGTTACAAGAAATACATTTTTTTTTTATGATTAAATTAATTTTTTATGATTAAAAAGAAATTAAACTTTCTTCTTTTTCATGATGAATAGTGTCTTTTCATTTCATATATATTCTTTTTTAAATATTGAAATTAATTAATATTTTCAATTGTTGAGCATGTGAATGAGACTAATTATTTCTTTAAGAAATTATTAATCATATGAAATCAAGAAAGCACGATTTCTTTTGTAATTCTTTTCATCGTATTGTCTTACGTTAATTTATTTGTATTATTTGTATTATCTTATATCCTCTTGCTATTTTCCCCTTTGTATTTCTACTCTCACCCCTTTATTTCGTTCTTATCTCGTACAATTTGCTTTTCTGATAGAAGACACTCGGGCTAACAATACAAGATTCGATAGTATTTTTTTTTTTGGAATAATTTTGGATTTTAATAATGTCTATGATTCATTTTAATTGATCATATTATTTTTGAAATCAAGATTGATCAAGATTTTTCAAATTTTTATGTTCTTCTTTTTCGCTTTTATATCGCTTTTTCCATTTACCAATTGATGTTTTAATAGGCTATTTGCCTATCTTCTTGTGCTTTTCTATAATTTTATTGTCTTCTATAATATATATTTATTTATTTTGTTCCTTACAATTTTTATATTTTTTTATAATATATATATATTTATTTTGTTCCTTACAATTTTTTCGATATTAAACTTTGAATATTGAAGCTGACTATAATTGAACATTAACATCGTAACGTTAAAACGTATAAAAGATAAAAATGAAAAACAACGAGCATAAAAGTGTATTTATAAAAATTCCCTTTTACATTTTGTGTTACTTTTCAAATAAACAAAAACAAGGAAGAAGGAACGTTAACTTATTCCCTTCAAAATTCGAAAATCACTCGATTTCGCGCTTATTCCCACTGGCAACCCAATTTTCTATCTACCATCGATATTTTTGATCAAATTCCATTTTACATTCGCATGAAACGCGATCGGCGCTTAATCTCTATGTAATGCGAACGTCACACGATCTACGCGTGAAAAAAAAAAAAAATTCCCATCAACGGAACAGCCGGAAGTTGATCGCTTCGGGGGAGAGAAGTATGATTAAAATGAAAATTTAATAGCACCAGGTACCGGTAAAGAAGATGAAACACACGGCTGTATATCGTGTTACGGCTCGTTGCTTTTTACGCGAATATAGCGTGCATACAGGGTGATTCATATGACTGGATGATTTATTAAACTGTTCATTGTTAAAAAAGAAGAAATAAAATTTGAGCGATCTTAATATCCTTCTTTTCATTCTTTTGTTCTCCATCTTGTTTTTTCTGATAGTGAAATTACATTGTATCGATTATTTCTTGATCGATTTAAATCTAACATGATATTCAATGGGATCAGATATTCTTGTATATTCTTTGTTCATTGTGAATGTTTTACGAAAAAGATATGAAAATCTGAATATTTAAGAAATTATATTATGCAGGATGTTCCAAAAATGTGTTGAATGATGTAATTTTGAATGCATAAAAGTTTTCGAATTAAAATATTTGAATTGAACAATAATACTTTTCTGGTATGCAGGAAACGATTTGCATTCTACGAAGAAATAGAGGAAGGAAATATCGAAATCGAATTTAACTATGTCTAACTACTTGAAATTGTCTAACTATATATGGAGTTCTACTATTCGAAAGGATTCTATTTCAATTGCTATGTACATGTACATTCTATGTATTTGGAAACTATTGCACGACGATTCTAACTCTATTTTGTACAATGGGATTAAATCTTTCCTGTTCAAACTTTTATTTTCTTTTCTTTTTTTTATTATTATACATTTGAAAAAACAAATTTTGAATTATTCATTGCACATTATACTTTCTTTGAATTTTAACTAATAGATTTATTCAGTAACAGAATAAAAATCTGTACCCTATAAGTAGTATAAACCAATATTAATAGCCTTATAAAAATTGTATCATTAACTTCAAAATATTCTTATAATCACACAAAATTTCTCACTTTTCAACTCACATCCAAGATATTCAATGTAATCTTAAGTTCTTTGTAACAAAATTAAATTGAATAATTAATTTTTCTTCTTAAAAATCTTAACGTGATATAATGAAATGCTTTAATAACCAAGACTACTAGAAGCTACTTTCGAAAAACAAAATTTTAAACGACGATTAGACATAAATTTATTTCGATCGTAAAGACAATCATATCCTATTTTTCAATTATTCGTTCAGAAACACAGAATTTATGACAGCCATTAGGGAACGTAAAGATTCTAAGACATTTCCAATGCATTACGAGTAAAAAAAATTCTCTTATCCTGAAAGATGTATCATGAATTTGCCAACGAGAATCCTCAATTTTTTGTTCCACCCAGATCAAAGTACATAGATATGCTTGCCAAGGATATCGTTCGCACGTCGACGATGTGAAATCCGTCGCAAACCGGATCTCGCGGCTTCCAAGAAATTTCCTTAGCGTTTATTATTTACGAGGGAGTATTTATTTATAGGAAACGGCAGACAGACGACTTGGCAGGCCATAATCCATAATGCCTCTGTCGTTCTTTGAACGACAAAATATTATTGCTGGTCGCGTGCCGTTTCCGTAAAATTATCGTTTCACATTCTTGGGTCCTTGCTATCGTTCATTTCTACCGTTTGTCGCCATTATGTGTCGAAACGACCACGAAAATTCCTCCTATTCCTGCGAGAATCACTCGTTGTGTAATTTCTTCTGTGCTTTTTTCTTCAACGAAGGAATTTATAAATAACAATCCAAATAAAAGTGAATTGTTCAATTAGAATCAATTGATTATTAATCGAATTTTGAAAATATTGTTTGAAATATAGAAGAAATTTGGAAAATTGAAATTTGTAAGATATTTTATGTTATTCTATGTTAACTAATAATATCTTCTACGAAAGAAGAAATAAATCAAGTAAATAATCGACCAGAATTTTATCTACAAACAATCAGAAACTCTCTTTAATTTAAAAACAAGTTAAATAATAATCACCGAATATTAATTGTGTAACGTTCAACGTGTTCTGTTAAAAATTCGAAACACCATTCGTCTGTCAATATATCCGAGATAAATACAAAAAATTAAATATATTTCGAGATCAAAAATACGACGGATGTTCCATCGATATATATATATATATATATTATCGAACGTTTTGAGAATATCATGATCCATGATTGGCACAAATATTTCCACCTCAAATTTCATACATCCTATACGATATCATTCTCTGCACGTTGTTTAATCATTTCTGTATCCACGCGCCTTTTTTTCAATACCTCTCTCGTTCCGTTATCCCTTGATTGGACCAACATGCGTAAACAAACGCTGGGAAAAGCTGAAATAAAATCACGAAAAAAAAAAAAAAAAAAAAAAAGGAAGTAAAATACACAGAACCGGGTGGAGATCCGGTTTTGTGGTTAGACACGGGAAATATATCGGGCAGAAATTTGAAATTCCTATTTTCAACGCGTTGATTCGCCCTTTTAAATATTTGTATCATTCTTCTTGTTTGTCAATAGGGGGAAAGAGGAACGAACGTTCAAATACGGGAAGCGCGTTCGATATAATTTTTTTCTTCTTCTATTTTCGGATAAAAACAGCGGTCGAATAATCGATCTTTTCAAAATTGTATTATATGTAGGTATAAAAAAAAAAATGATTTTTGAGAATTCAATGTCCAATATTGAAATATTGTCATTTTTTTAAAATTCTGAGGAATTATTTGATAGAATTTACTTTTTTTTTTTTTTGAAGTGCGATAAATAATTGACTTGTATTTGTATTCTTGAAAATATGCACGTTTCGTTATTCACATAACGTCCATTCAATTTTTCAATGTTTATAAAATATCACGAAAATCTTCTTTGTCTTCTATTCTAAATCTTATTAAAAAAATTCTTCCATTGAATTTTTCACACCACATAATTTAATCTACAATGGAAATAGTTTACATCCTTCCTAACAAAAAATTCATAACATCTCGTTTAACATTCTTACTCTAAATATTTTTTCTAACATATCAGATTTAATTCGAATCATAGCTACGAGATGAACGTAACGAAATATATATATATCGAGAAAAAAGAAAAAAGGAAAACGAGAGATAAAATGCATATACCGAATTTTTATTGAATCCTTTTTCTTTTTTCACGTTCGATGAATGAAAAGGCAGAAAGATAGTGCATAAATCGAAACCGGAAACGAATATTTCGCTTACCATGAACATCGTTCATTCTATTTCGTTTCGTGCAGGTCGACCTCAGCCAAGAGTGACGTGGTGGCAAGAGAACGCTCTTCTCGACGACACTTACGAAACTATTGAAACGAAGAAGGTACGAAATGTGCTGCGATTGGAAAAGTTGGGTCGTGAGCATCTGAACACGATTTTAACTTGTCAAGCTTCGAATAACAACATGGTCGCTCCGATATCCAGTTCTGTTACCCTCGATATGAATCGTAAGTATAATGATATAAATTTAAATTAATCAATTTACTCATTTTTGTCTTAATTTTTCTATTATACAGCTGTTAAAGAGCTGTATCTTAAAATTTGAAAAATTTCATAGAAAATCGATTAATTGAGAATATATAATGATAAAACGATGAATATTTCTTCATTTAAAAATATAATGTACAAATTTTATATTTAGAAATATATGATTTATCGCGTTCTATAATTATCACTTCGTACTATTAAAAATATATCGATACAAGAATAAATTATTAATCTTACTAAATCTGAATAAATAATGTAATATCCCTCGCAAAAGTCTATTTCACCATTTATCAAATCATCTACCAAAAAGAAAAGGAACGCGTATTTAAACAATTCTTGATAAATCCAAAGATCAATCAAACCTTATCTATCAGTGCTTAACAAATAATTGAACGTTAGTTGCTAAAACCTTGTTTAACGTTCGAAAGTTTCGCGAAGTACTTTCCATTAACCAGCTCGAATCAGGAGTTAGTCGAAACGATTACTCAAACACTTCTATCGTTCTACAAATGTTATGGAATCCTGTCTGGAAAGGATAGATCATTCGTACTCGAAGGCTAATGGATGATACACGTGTTTTAGTGAAACCATTGTGGGTCCGTATGCAAGAGAAGAACCGTCCACTTAGCGCTGGCACTATATACGAGATCATTTGTGAAGTGGTTGGGGCCAGGCCGACGCCGAAAATCACGTGGTCCAAGGGTAGCATAATGCTGAGGAACGCCAGACAAACGGTAAGGTTGAACTACTGTTGATAATGATACGCTAGCACTATTGATTTTGATTGGATTTTATTAATACATAATTAGAGGATTCTTTCCTTAACCCTTTTATTTAAAAGAAAAATGTCATTAATTAGTTGTACTATTAATATATAATTAAAGAAAAAATTAATGCTTTCTAAGCATTCATTTCCAGATGATGTCCAGAAAGAAATGAATATTTATAGTTTTTTCTTTAGTTTAATTATACTCTCTAGAAAAAAGAATCTCAACTTTAATAATCTTGACTTTGAAATATATTATAAAGCAAGGAGTCCTGAATAATTAATGTATTTTTCCAAAACAATGGAACAAAAAATCGTGATTCTAAAAAATTTCCATTACGTTTCATCGTTAAAAAGAAATATTTCACATAAAACAAATTCGAAGTTCAAAGTTATTTAGAGATTTAATTGCGAGATTAAAGAAAAAAAGAAATCCTTTCATACTCTTTCCTCTTCCTCTTCGAGAGAATCCATGGCCAATATTTTGGAAAGCAATAAGTCTCTAACTTTTCGCACTATCTGCCCGTTGATTTTTCAGAGAGAGCTTCGATTCTTTAAATCAGCCCTAGGCATTTATTTTTTCTGGCGCGTGTATATGATAGGCGGGACCAGTTCGATAAACTGTTTTAAATTCATGAAAGGGTGTCCCGCAGATAAGCCCCGACAACAACGTCACCACCAGCGTCCTCACGTTCGTGCCGAGTATCGAGGATGCGGGCAAGTTCCTCTCTTGCCACGGGAGCGTGCAGAATATCCCGGATTCCGAGATGAAGGACGAGTGGAAGCTCGACATATACCGTGAGTTTGTTTCCATTGAAATTTTGATGAGAGATGATCGAAAGTAGAAGTTTGTTTTTTCTCTCTGGTTTTGGAAATTTTTGTACGCTTTTCTTTTTTATTTCGTATTCATTTAAGAAGGAAATATATTTTAATTTTGGTTTGAGGATTACGATACGTACTTTTTCGCACTTTAAATTAAAAAGTATAATTGTTGATACTTATCATTCTTTTTTTTTTTTGATTTATAATTATTTAAATAAGAAAATATGAAAATAAGAAAATATGGAAATATGAATATGTATTTGGAAATAAGATATGATTGACCAATACATATTCCGTTTTGAAACTTAGTTATTTATCAAATTTATAGAAAAATTTATATAAAGTAACATAATTTTCGTTCCTAATTACATGATCATGATTCGTCAATCACCACCAATCAAAGTAATAAATTTTAAATAATTCTTTTATATTCCTTCGATAATATCAATTATCGATATCCAATATAAAAAAATTAAATCGATTTTAAAATAAAATCTCGATTAATATTTATTAAATTGAAATACACATATAAGATTTAATTTTTTACTTTTCAATATACAATATCAAACTGATCCAAAGAAAATAACTGAGCCAAACAAAAAAAAAAAAAAAAAAAAAAAAAGAAAAAATAATGAAAGAGACAAAAAAATCAGGAAATTTATCGACGATGCCTCTACATCGTGGTGAAAAAAGTTCCATGGACAGATTTGGAAATGCCTCTGATTGGTTTCACCGACTGATAGAATTTTGGAAACGCCCGGTTTTTGCAATGTGTCGTTCGCAGGGAAACGCGGCTACACCACTGTCCAATAAAAATGAAATATAGTTGATGAGCGATTTATTGCTCTATCGCTTCGAGCGTAATTTAATTCGCGTAATCGATAGAGCAACGTGTTTACGAGTGATTGTTTCGAGGGATGAAAATAGGTCCCCTGAACTTTGCCCGTCTCTAATGCGAAGCGCGTGTCGTCCGTTCTTCCAGTCAACTTTTCTCGGGGGGAGGAGATTTGTTTGGATTAATTAAAATTTTTAATTAATTCCTTCGCAGAACGCTTCCAGTGAAAAAGTTGAGCCTTGATCTAGGAACCGGTGTTAAATTGAATTCATTGCTGTATATACAAATAACACGAAGGATGAACGTGAGGAAGTTGGAAATTATTGGTGAAGCATAAAAAATCGAGTATATATCGAATATATGTATTTTTTTTATCATGATGCAAAACGAATTTATAGAATAAATTGACGTAAAGATAGGAATGGAATGAGATAGTTATGAAGAGAGATTAAAATGATTTTACGATTGCGATTTCAAATTTCAATTTTCGAAAATTGAGATCCATATTTTTCGCGATGATCTAAACTAAAAATATTTCAATTTTCAATCGCTTCGAATATTAAATTTTTCAAATTCCAAATTCCTCTTGAATTTTAAACCTTTTAAATTTCAAATTGTTCGAAAGTTTAATCCTTCAAATTCTCCAATTCCTTTTTAAATTTTTCAAATTTTAAACCTGTCACCTATTTAAAAATACTAAATTTTTTAAAAATATTAATCATTCAAGTTTCAAATTCGCGTTCAAATTCCAAATCAAATGTCCATTCGTTTAATAATATCTTTCGATATTTTTCACTTTGTCACTTCAAACGACAATAACTTCGTTCTATTGTTTTGCGTATTTTATCCGTATTATTGTCATCGCAAAAACTGTTTAGAATCTTAAACAGGTAGATTGGCACGATCAATACACTCTCACTTCGCGTTCGTTGAATCCTTCCGTTTTTAGACGTTTCTTTCCCTCACACGACCCTTGTTCTGCATCGAATAGTCATCCTTCTGTAAATTTCCGCTCCACTAACACTCTCGCCACTTAAGAACCTGACGACAGCACGCTATTCCCCCGATGTGCAATCTTACAGTGGAACAAGCTTCTTGGCAGCCAACCAGAACACACTATAAACTAAACAGAAACGCTGGAACCAGAAGCAAAACCATGCCAAATATTTAAAAGAACATTCCCGATGTACGATTCGGCCCATTTATTTCTATTCTCTATTTTTTCTTTGTCTCTCTTTTTTTTCTTTTTTCTAATATAGATACACTTTAAAATCTTGTAAAATGAGATTCAACTTGAACTTTAATTTTCATTCATAATTTTCATCGTTCATTTAAAGAATTTTTTCAAATTTGTTTTTTTTTTTCTTGAAACAGAAAATGCAATTCTATTCTCAAATCAAATTCTAATGGGGGAAAAACATTCGAGCTTTTCCCCATATAAAATAGCAAACAAAAAGTTTAATTAATCCGCCGTAATTTAAAACGTTTTAATTTTTTCCTTCTCACGATTTGAACGAATTGAATTCTGTAATTAAACTGTTCCATTATTTTTAATTAATATTGTTAATTATTATTCGATTAATGAAACATTTCTTTTGAAATTTTTTTCTATAATAATTAATTTATGCTATTGAATAATTTTATTTATCGTTTCGTCGTCTTATACAAATAATACCAAGTTTTTTTTCAACCCTTAATTGAGGAGATCTCGAGGATCTCGAGTAGTATATGATATTATAAGTATCTCAATAATCTTCATTTAAGTTGAGCTTTATAAATATAATTTATGAGAAGAAATTATAATTTTTTTCATTGGATTACCTACGAATCCTCCAGCAGAAAATTAACATATTCTCTCCTTATTAAAAATATATAAATTTAATATTTTTTACGTTGCTATTACCTCTTCCTACTATTTCACAGTTTATGATCAAAGATTTTGTGATCATCTATTCATCTATTCGTTCATATATCCTTAAACTAAATACGTTTTAAATTATCTTTAATCTTCATTCTTTTAAGTTTTATTCTTTCTTCGGATATAGAAAAAAAAATTTACTAATTCTTAATACCAAACCATTATTTTTCTTTTTTATAAGAAATCCGAAATTAAACTAAATACATTACAACAATAAATAATAAACGAAGAAAAGAAATACGGACGAGGAAAAGAAACAATCAAAAAATTTTTTTAAATTCTTCCCGAGAAAAAAAACTCTTCACGTTCATTTGACACGTTTCCACGCTTATTTCCTTACGCCCACCCTTCCTCATCATCCCTAAACTCGCGTTTCACAGCAAGCAGGTCGGTGGCAAGAGCCGACGAAATCGCGCATTCTCGCATCGAAATTAAAACTCGCGTGCAAGCAGAAGAGGGGAAAGAGGAACTTATTTATCCAGTGGGGATTCTGTCAAGCTGAGGCCGCTTGTATTGGCTTCACGCTCGATCTCTCGCTCGCTATTAGCAAGAAATCCGCTCTCTTGTGGCCTTCCCTCGATATCGCTCCTCCTTCGAACAAGAACTGATGAGCGAAAAGAAGAAAGCGAGAAAAAGCGAAGGGGAAAGGGGGATGAAATGAAGGAAGGAAAAAGAGGGAGGAGAGGAAGGAGGGAAACGGAGAAAGAATCGTGAAAAAGCAGCCGCAATATCGATTCACTCGGTTCTTGCTTATGATTTCTCTCGGCTCTCTGTACAACTCGTAATACGAATACACTGAAAGAATCTGATAATTCATGCTTTTAACAATTTTATATATATATTCGACGATTTTATGCCTTCAACGATTTTTGTATCTCTCTGTTTTCGTTTGAAGAAATTAGTAATCATCGTATTTATCGAAGGAAATAATTTTTGAATGAAATAAGGAAGAAGATGGATTCGATGGAAATGAAAGAAGATCAAAAGATGCTGCTTGTCTCGAATTTAGAATAATCTCTTTCCTAAACAATGAGATTGGAGTAAAAATTAGACAACAAAAGAAGAAAGAAAGTTTGATGGAAAAAACTGAAACTAACCGATGAGATCGAGTAGAGGATAAACAAAGAGAGGAGAACGAGTTTCACAGAGAAAAAGAGAAGAAAGATTTGAACGAGAATGAAGGAAAGAAAATCGAGAGAACGAGAGAATCTTCGGTCATGGATCGGCATGTACCATTAATTTCCGTGGAGCTGAACCGATCCCTCGTTTCCTCTTTCTCTCGTTTTCGTTCGTATTTCCTCTCATTTCCTCGCTGCCTAGTTGGGAAAAAGTTTTATATTGGACAATGAAATCACGGTGTTAATCTCCAACAACGATAGCAGGGACAACGGATCTGCATAAAGATTCGTCGTGGAATCGATCTCGGAGATTGTCGCGAAATTTAAAGAATTGTTTCGCGCATTTAGGACAATAAAAAGATTTTTATCGTAAACGAATCAGAATTATTTACTTAGAGTATATTGAAAAATTTTCATATAAATATGATTTATATATGATCTCTCTATCTATAATAAATTTTTATGAATGTAAAAGACGATAAAGAATGAATAGAAAATAAATATCACTATCGAATATCCTGTGAAACAAAATGTTTATTTTAATTTGTAGAATCAATTCTTCTTACTCAAAATCAACATAAAATTCTCAATTTACTCCGCGTGTTTATACTGCAAGCCAAGTTTTGCAATTGGATTAAATTTAGTTGGAGAAAAATTAAATTATTTTTCTTCCTATTAACTTCTTAACTTTAACTTATTAATTTAATAAGTTGCGACAATTTGCATACAAATAAGAAATCTTGGAAGAAAATTTTATTCAAATATTCAATGCATCCGTATATTTATTTAAATTCTTCTACATTTTAATTATTATCCATAAGGCACGTCGATTAATTTTATTATATGTCTATATAAAATTTGTGGTTTTAAAGTATTATAAAGTTTCCCTGTATGTTTAGCCTGTAAATTTATTCTACAAATTTTTCAATATTTCGTTCCACAAACTTATGAAACCATCCCCAACTTAGTATAGTTAAAGTCTATGAACTTTGTTGAGAAAGTATCGATATTCTTCACATTAAAACATTCACTCCTTCGAAAAGTGAGATCTTATCGAGAAAACATTGCATTATGAAGAGTGAAATATTGTTCCAGTTTGATCTAGTTGAACGATTTCAACGAAACATGGCCAAAGGCTGAATCTGAGGAAAGATTAACACGGAAAATTGATTTTGTTGTTATCAGAGCGGGCAGTATTGCGTTACATGCAAATGAGAATTGAACTTGCTTACATTGAACAGTGTAATAAATGTTTATCGCATAAACACGATTTATCATATAAACGAGTATAATAATTCTTTAACTTGTAAACATTATCGATTTATGAAACATTATATAATATATACACGTAAACTCAAAGGGTAATATACCTCTCTTTATGACGTTAATAATAAATATTATTCGATGGTGATGGTGATTGACGATCATATTTCGAATAATCTCTATTAAATAGAAATTTAAAAATATCGATTGCTAATAACAATAATCACAACAATTCTAAACCTACAGCCATATTTAATTTTTTTCTCTACGTAGAACAATTCCAACACCCCATAGAACAATCCAACTTCCAAGTTATCCCAGAAAATGCACCCAAGACCCCTATCACCCAAAATGAACCCTTCAGCACCCTCGACTCTCATCAACTCTACTCACAACACGAATCACTCTCATCTATTTACCATCCAACTCGCCAAACTCCGCGAGTTGTTACATATACAAAACAATAGCCCTTTCTTGCTCCACCGCCCTACTTACCTTACCTTCCATCCCCTGTGGAACACGTGTTCGCGCGTTCGCAGTTTCCCCGAAACGACAAAACAGACGGTAGAATTTCTTACACAAGGAAACGACACGTTTCAAACTTTCAGACGAGCCGGTGGTTACCCTCGAGCTCGGCAGCAATTTGAACTTGAGCGCAATCCGCGAGGGTATCGACGTTTACTTCGAGTGCAATATCAAGTCGAATCCGTGGGTGTACAAGGTCTCCTGGCGGCACAACGTGAGTCCAAACAGCCACAATCTATATATCATTCGATATAGATGACGATGGAACGTTCCCTAAACGTATCCGGATAACGAATCCGCGCGCCAGTTTCCGGGATCGATAATTTAGAACCTAGTTTCAAGCTTGATCGAGATAAAAGGGGAGGAGAGGGGAAGGTGGCGCAGCTGTGACGCCAAGTTTCCGTTTAAAATTTACATGCTGATACCGGTGGAACCGGCGTGTAAGCGTTCTTTGAACTAATAGCCAACGTTCCGCATCGATAAGAAATTTATCGGCGAGCTTCTGGTACCGTTGAAGTAACCCTAAGCGTTTTAGGATCCTCCTTAAATGGGGTGAAGTCTTCTGACAGGGGGATACGATATAATAGGAAGCTCGTCAAGGGAATCGGGCGATGTGCACTGATTTTGGCTCAGGCTTTGTGGCTATACTTGATGGGTGATAAGTGTTTTGGAATAGATTGATATAAGTAAAGTTTGAGGAGGAAGATGTCTGGATTTATCTATGTATATATATATATTTATTTATTTATCTTCTTATATAATTTATTTTAGAACTCTTATTACTGGAACTTTATATGGAATTTTATCTGGATGTTGATGAAATTTTGTAAATGTAATGGAACGAATATTCAATGTGTCAAATGAAAAGTATGAATAAATTGTATATAATTATACAATTAATTCTGTTCTGAAGAATTGAAATTAAAAGTTGTACTTTGAATGGAATTAAAATTAAACTTTAAATGGAATGGATAATCCATAAATGAGTATTACATGACTCGATATTGCAAAATGAAATAATTTTAATTAACGATTAAAGAAAAAATAAAATAATATTTATAATTGTCGAATATAATTGTTCTTAAAATTTTAAATTCTAGAATATTTAAGAAATTATTATACTTTATATTAACATTTCAATAATATAAAGTATAATCGTAAAATATACGGTAATTTAATTAATAATTCAATATTATTTAATTAATAATCATTAACAGAACATATTATTTGCTACAGCTGTATGAATATTACGAATATTCGTGCTCTAGGATTAAATTAGATTTCAAATTAATTTCTGTATTAAATATTATTTATACATTATATTACATATGATATATGAGGATATTAAATATTAATATTAAATTTTATTAAAAATTTAATAATATTTTTTATTCCTAATAAAATCCTCATAAACTTTAATTTAAAATACACTTATTTTATTAAAATTACGCGCTATATTATATGTTTTATGTAAAATCTATGTTTTACATAAAAAAATATAGTGTCTTCCGTTTCGAAATAAAATTTGTTGCGCGAATTTCTGGAATAAATGAACTTCGTAACATAAATTAACTAATAATTTACATGTTTTACCATTCCATTAATTATCCAGAAAGGCTGCATTAGGTAATTATGAATACGTATTTGTATAAAATAAAGAAACTTTATAAATATATTAACCGATAATTTATAACTTGTTTCACCTAACTCACAAAAAAAGTTTTCCTTTCCGATACTTCGATACAGATTCTTAAAATTTACAATAAATTTAAAAATATGATAATAAAATTCAGAAAATATAGAATGTGACATCTCAAAGATAAACAAACTAACACCATTCAATTCTTCAGTTTCTTTTAGATAAAAATGATTCAATGATAACTATCTCAACATAACAATCAAATATTTAAAAAAATAATAATTTTTAAATCAATTAAATATTTTCTCTTCCACAAAATTGCATCAACATCACTACGTAAAATTTCATATGTAATTTTCTATGAGGATCACCGATATTCCATAAATCAATTGAAATTCCCATACGAATTCCCCAATGAAGTAACTAATTGTAGGAGAAACGAAGTCAATTGTTGTTCCTGATTGATCCAATGAGCCAATGTGTGATTGGTATCGAGCTATAGCAATCACAGTAGAGATTTGTTTAATGATTATCTATTCCAATGAGTGGGTTTTCCTATTCAATATTAATCTGTTTGATATTGATATGTTCAATCTATGGCTACTCACCAATTGGTTACATGGATATAACATCTCATTTATCATTACCAATTTGAAAACATTTATCGAAATCTCTATCAGTAAAATTTTCAATCGTAATCTTTTTAATATTTTATATATATAAAAAAAGAAGAAGAAAAAAAGAAATATTCTGAATTTTTCTCTTTTTACATCTTCTCTCTATGAATCATCATTATTAATTCCGTTTGCGTTTTAAGGCAAGATATTCTGATATTCAGTACAAACCTACAATTCCGCACTTTAACGCGCCTTTACGTTTCATTGCCTCAGTTCCCTCCAATAAGAGAATCGTATATTTTGCATTACTACGTTTCATCATGAATATTTTAAAGTCAGATGTGTAACTTTACCTTCCTGTCCAAAGTGAAACAATCATGAAATCCTCGAATGAAGAAATATAATTCTGATAAGAAAAAATCAAAGTTTCTTTTTATATCTTCTTTAATAAAAAAAAAAAAATTAAAAATGATCTCTAATATCGATAAACGAATAGCAAGAAATATTTAAAATTGTAATTAATGAATACCATACTACAAAAACAATAATGAGGAACTGCAAGATATAAAAAAATTTATCTAGAAAATTTTGCAGCAAAATTTTTAAATCTTTATGAATATACATAATAACGTAATATTTTCAAATTATTGCTTATTGTATAAGCTTTTTAAAATAACTAACATATTCTGTATAATCACAAAATAAAATCACCACTCAAGGGATTGAATCGAAGAAAAAAAAAAAAAAAACTTGAATATTAAAAAATTAATCTTCCCGGTAGCAACGAGTGCGACGAATTCTGACATTTTACACAAGGCTCGAACATTCCTAACACAAAATTCCTGAGCAGAGAAAGGAGGGTCGTTTCAATGGAATAATAATTTCATGCAGAACGATTACCTATCTCCTCCCGCGTGTTCTAAAGAGGTAGGGAGCTGGAAGATTTATTTTAAACGAATGCAGACACCCGTTCCTTTGTGTCCGTATTGCACCAAGTTCCATAAATATTTCTTCGCACATCTCCGAATCATAATGTCATTGTAGTTCACGGGGGTGCGCACCCCTTTGTCGATCCTCGTTTGATTCGAGGACAAGCACCGGGATGGAAGACTTCCGCGGTGTGTTTGGGCGAAATTCAAAGGAACCTCTTCTTAAGGAGGAGGAGAAGAAGAAGAAGAAGAAGAAGAAGAAGAAGAGAAGACATCGTTGGCTTTGAGAAATTGAAAAACTGTCACCACTCTTCGCCTTATTTTTTTCTCTCTTACCACTACTCCTCTTTTATTCTTTCATTTTCCTCATTTTTCGCGAAATTTATACAGGAACCGGTCTCCATCGATCGATACAAGTATCAAATTCACCATTAATCATTCAAGAGTAGGTCGTTTCAAAATTACCTGCATCCTCTTGTGGCTGTTTAGTCACTGTCAATGCTACTTTCTCACCCTTTCATCTTTTCTGACGAACTTTTGTTTCTTCACACGTGATTTTTTATTCTTTATTTCAATTATTCCAGGGTGAATTTTACAATTCTCACTCTATTAACCTTTCTTAGCAAGAATTGACACAACTTTGTTGTGTTTGTTTTTATTGAAGATTTTTCTGCTACAAATTTTCAATTCAATTTTTCGATAAACTTCATTGAAAAGGCCACATTCTTAAAAATCATGGTATGCAATATTTAATTTCTCTATTAAACTTGATAAAAAATTCACTTACATTTTTTAAACATATCATATGCTTAAAAATAAAAAAAAAACAAAACGTTTGATTAAAACAAAAAGATTCCAATCATTTAAAAATTGAAGAGCTAATTCGATACAATTTTATATCGTCTTTTAATAATTTTCGTTTCGTTTCAATATATCAAGAATATTTGAACGATTCATCGTCGTCATCGTTTTTATTGCAAAACATTTTACGTGCTTGTTCATTCACCACGATTTTATTTCCACAGCGTAATCCGTTGTATCATAATCAAGCGACTGGAACCATAATCAGTAATCAAAGCCTGGTACTGCAGAGCGTGACTCGCAGTAGAGCTGGGATCTACACGTGTATTGGCAGCAATCAGGAAGGCGATGGAGAGAGCAATCCACTGAATCTGGACATCAAATGTGAGTATATTGGCTATTCATCTTGGCAGTTGCAGTTCTTTGGGTGGAGAAATTGTATCGTGCTTGTTGGAGTTTGAAATGTTGGGATCTTTAATTTTCAATTGATATCAATGGATAACCGTGACAATATACATTAAATTTAAATTATTTTCTTTTAATCTAGACTTTGTACTTAATTATATTTTGCATCCTGTGCAATATACAAATATAGTTGACGAAAAAAAAAATACAAATTAAAATTTTTAAAATTTTTAATTTCTTTCAATAAGATTATTTAAACGAATTCGAAATATTAATGTATGTTAATTTATACTCCCTTTGTCGTGATTATAAAATCACAATATACATCCTTATTTTTCATGAAATAAATGAACACCTATCGTTATTGTTCCTAATATTAATTATCTTTATATAATTTAATATAAATAGTCAAAATTAAATTATCTAGATATGTATTTCGTTAAATAAGAATTATTTACAATTATTGCGTAAAAATATCGTGAAGGAATTCAAATAATATATAAACAATTTCTACTTTTAAGTCAGATAGATCGGCATAAATGAATAAAACGATTGTACAAAAAAGACCGTTTTATCTTTGTCGCGTCTTTTTGCCAACGTCTCTTAAAAACGTCGCAATGTGATAATAAAAGAAAAGATATTATGAAAGTCCTAATTTTTCAAAATTTTACAGGCAATACGTTTCTTGCAACTTTGTTTCATTAAAAGTTTGTACAACGATGTTACGAGCAAAATATTACCGCGACTCGATCTTTCCAAAGAAATTAAATTAAACGGGGGAAAAAAGTTACTTACAAAAAGTTTACTCGTAACAATATAAAAATCTAATCTTAAAGAATATATATTAAATATATTTATATATCTTTTTTCTTTAGATAATTTCAATTATGGAAATTAATCGTAAATAAAATCCATCTATAATAATTCTTCTTTAACGATTAACAAGTATCAAAAATTACCATGAAAAATTTAGGATTGCGTAAATAAAATATTTATCAGGGAATAAATATTTAAAAATAGAAAGATAGAATACGAAATACAATTCCTGTAAAATTCTATTGCAAATATTTAACGGAATAAATGAAAATAAGGATCAAAGTGAAATTATCAAATAATACGCGCATACTAATTCCCCCTTTAAATGGCAATCATCGAAATTAAAGTTACATTTAATAAACCACACTTGCGCAATTCGCAATATCATCAAACACAATAGAATCTCGATAATCACGCGATTACAAAAGATAACTGGAACGAGATTCAAAGAGCAAAGGAGGGTCATTTCGGTAATTCAACGATCCCGGAATGTGGTAATCCCGGCTCATCGCAGAAATATTTAGAAAGTAAAGTACGTTTCTCTAACTTCTCTAGAGACGGTATTATGTACAACGAATGAAGAGATTGTTACGATTCCAGCTTTGCGAACTTATACTCGTTCGGCTAAAGAGAGAATTGGATTGTAAGATGAACAGGGAAAGGGAGTGTGAGAGGGGAGGGGGATGGTTGAGAGTGTAAAGGTGGTGCTGGCGCGGCCACTAAAAGCATTCAAGGAAACCGACTCGTAACAACGTGCTTTTACCACGTAATGAAACATTTAACGAGAGACGCGTATAAAGCTAAAACCCCCAACGTCTATCACAGACGTCGTAACACAATGCAACGTTGTTCTGAAAGCAATATAACATTATTTTTGCGTTAACAAAGTCTTCCTCGGTTCCACTTCAATCCGCCATTACTTTCATTTTTTTTCTTTTCTTTTGTTTTCTTTTTCGACGAACAAAGACGGCGTAAATGAAATGCGCAATATAATTCCGCTTTGTAGTATTATTTTTTGGAGCTACGCAAAGCCAGGTTAATTTTGTTTCGGAAACTGATCTGACAAATGGAGATAGTGGAGGGATTTTTTTCATCGAATCTTTTAATTGAATTTCACGAAAGGAATAATATGATTTCCCGTGTCGCAACGTGGAGGGAAAGCAAGAAAGAAAGAAAGAAAGAAAGAAAGAAATCGTGATTTCGAGAAAACGGTACAGAAATATTAGACAATGGAAACGAGTAATACGATAAAACGAGGGACGAAGGCTGACACAAGGAAAAATGAAATTTCCACAAGTGAGAATAGACGGATTTCAAAATGTTCTCGAACGAAGGAGACGCTTTCAACGTCTCGATAATCTTCTAGAGCTAGAATTTTAAAGGACATATGTCAGAAGTCTAGAAATGGTAGTTGTAAAATGAAACTGAATTATAGAATTATCAAAATAAAAATATAACACGATGATACATGAATTTTACGAATGATCGATGTATCAAATCTTGTATAAATATGATAACTGCGAAATTATAAATACTACTTCTCTTCAGTTTTGTATTCGATGTAAAATTTTTAGAAATGACAAAAATGCTATTGAACCATTTCTTTTTTTTCTCGAGTTTCATCTCGATATATCGAAAGAGTGAAAAATAAATAATATAACCAGCCATCTTTAAGTTGAAATACCTTCAAAATAAAATATTTTAAAATTTCTATGAACGAAAATAAAGATTACAACAATTTTATCTAAACTATCGATTAAGTTAACCATGAATTTATTTTACAACGATTGGACGATCAGACGTTTGAGAGAATTTTCTGTGTCGAACTTTTCGATGACACGACTCGCGAGGACACGAAAAATAGAAGAAAGTATACTTTCCCTGATTTCAACTACGTCGACTAAGATTTTATCACATCCACTCTCGGGGATCGAATCATGGCGGTCCAATCCAACGTCGATTCTGCTTTCAATTTACAGCACTCCAATTTCAAATTCTTTCCCCGACGAAGAAACGTGGAAACTCTGCTAGGTTGTCCATTCGGGTACGAACTTCGAAGAAGAAAGTCAAGATACGTTTACCCTTATTTTATTCGCATTGACTTCGTGATTTTTTCTTCGAGAATTTTTTTAATTCAAAAGCGAAGATTTATGTTACTTTCAATTCAATTTCTAAGAATAATTTCAGAACTGGAATAATTTTACGGAATTCTTCGAGGAAACTATCGATCTTGCTATCCATTTACAACGTTGGAAACGTTAAACTTTCTTAGCTCTTAGAATGCAGAAAATTCGTTGAATTCCAACATCAAAGTTCGTGTTTCGCGAGAGAAAAGCCCAAGTATTTATCCTAATTTCGCTCATGCCAACTTTGGCATTGTCGTGTCCACTCCGTAAACCGAACCTTCTTGTCTTCATCTACCTTAAATTTACTTTAAACTTTCTTTATTCAAACTTTCCTTCAAACCCGAACTTTACAGAATACGTTTTATCCAATTCCATTCTATTCATCTTCTATATTCACTCATATGAGTTCCTTTCTAAAATCACGTCCAATCACGATTCTTCTTCTCAAGTCGGATCACTTTCGACCCATGTTTCCGACATTCAACATCTACAACAACTCGGACACGAGTCAAAAATCATCGTCCACTTTACGTGTCAGCGATTCGACGCTATTATAAACACCATACTTTTATAATACACTATACACCCTTAAATCAATATAATTAAACGAACGGATCCAACAAGCAAAATATTCAAATTACGATCCAATCCAAACCCATTTCATCCCATTAAATATTACACCATTGTTCTCGCATTCACACGTAAATCACACGAACCGCAAAATCTCACGATGCCTGTACCAAACTCCTCCTCATTCTCCCATTCTACTCCATCATGGGGGGCGCACAGATCCTCCAACCCGCTTCCGGGGACTCGGGCTATCGGAAGGCCACGTGGCGCACACGCGCATAATTCCACATCCCGCGCACACACGCACACGCACACACGCACACGGACGCGCGCACGATTCGAATCTCATCAAACACCGCGGCAGCCGCCTTTAACTGCCTCAGACGGGCCGTTTAACCCGGCGGACATGGGACGGTGCACGGTTACACGGGGCATAGCCGGTGAATTCCGGCATGTGTCACGCGGTGGCTCGTCGATGGGCTTCGTCGCAGTTGCAGGCGTGTACAACCCTGGCCAAAGCGCGGTCCAGCGGATTAGCCGCGGCAGTTTAACCGGCGTTAAGGCCATTACACACTGATTTGCCCTGGCCACCATATGGACGCGCGAGGCGAGACCGACTGTCAGTCGATCGTAAGTTACAACAGGACTTGAGACACCGGATTACGGATGTAACGGTTGCGCGGGAACCGCAATGACGATGGAAGATGGATCGTATATCGGAGCTGGGGCGTTACACGTGGATGATAAATTTATCGAGAGAGGGAAGAAATGGATGTTTGATGTTTCATATGTTTGTGAGGAGTATTATTTATTCTTCGAAGCGTAGCTTTTTAATTCGTTTTATTGAAAATGTTGTTTTCAATAACCGAGTTATCTTAGAAATTTTGCACGAAAGTTTAAGTAGGGGATGATATTAATTATGTTCAAATTTATCTGAATCGTTTGGAAAGATGTTTCGATTAAAGTTTATACGAAAGTTTTAGATGCTTTGCATTTTCTAAATTGGACAACTTTTTTTTTTTTTTCCTACAATTGTATTACCAAGTGTTCCCCAGAAGCTTGTAATAATGTACAGAATAATTTAACTCCACTATGAGGAAATTATACAAATGAATTCGAGACTTTAAGATAGATTTTCATAAAGTTACAATTTCATGTTTTTTTATATGTGATAGCGTTCCTCGTAATTGCAGGAGAATTCATTAATACGAGGAATTTTCATTGTACAGAAATATATATGCGCAAAGCAGATAATTAAAATACAAGGACAATTAAAATGTGAGTAATAACTTTAAGTAGAATTATATCAGACACACGTTTCTAATCATCGCTATTTCATTCCTCTTTGTATCAATTATTAATGAAATTACTTTACATGTGTAAAGATATTAAATTATCATCATGTCCTTGTATTTGTAATCATCTTAATCAATCTTTTTGCTACGTAACGGAACAAGAATTGGACTA